GAATTTTCTCTCTGCTTCAGTGAGTATTTCTAGTTGCCTCTTATTACCATAAACAGGCAAATGTTACTTATGAGAGTACAACAGCCACAGAAGAAAAATTGGGATACCAGAATTAAGATCAACTCTTTTAGGTTGAACCTCAGCAGAGGTCATGCTGTTGTGGTCCTAGAAGAGAAACTTTTCTCTTTTTTCTTTTTGTGGTGTATTGTCAGCAATCCACTCTGGAGCACAAGCAGTATCAGCACTATTACTTATTTTTAGCAGAAATCATTATAAGTTGTGGAAATCTTGGTAGCCTTTGGCTTCAAGTTTTGGCACAGATTAGGGAACTAGTTGGTCATTAAATCAGAGCACCAGTTGAAAATATAAAAATTTGCCATGTGTCTTGGGAACCAAACAAAATTTTTGCAAGTTTTTTTGAAGTTTGATTGTCATGATTAGTACAATATCAAATTGATGTAATTTAACCCATGTTTCTCGTAGAAACATGGTTTTACACTCACCAGTGAAGGAGAAGTACTTCAGGAAGAGAATTGTATCCATGAGCCTCCTCCGAAAGTCAGAGAGACAATCATTGGTCTAATTGTACTGGCAAGCGAGGGGTGCGGCTACCGCCTCTCTGTTAGGAGAAAGAAAAGGAAATCCAGTCTGGCACGAATAAAACAGCTCTGCATATAGTTATAGGAAGACGACCAGAAGCGTTTGAAGCGTTAGTTTTTACAACCCACTAAATCAAATGAGTCACACAAATGACAGAATAAATTTTGCAAACGACCAAATCAGTGCGTTACGCCTTTGACCCCTAAGAGTGACTTGCATCTTAATTCTCCTCACAACATCATCTGTCTAAATCACAGATGACCCTAACCCTAAGCATTTTATTGGGAGATAAATGGAGAACAAAATGGGGAATTTGCTGACAGATGTTAATGAGAAAAGGTTTAAACTGGTTGGGTATCATGTTTACAAGCGACCGAAAAAGTCTGTACAACTTACAGTGTATCATGATTATAGGGGTAAGTTTCTAAAGAAACTGTGGTGCTGCGTCGCTGGGAGAATAAAACAAGATAATTTTGTATTACCAGCTGAGTTGGTAACGTAAATTGGCCACTGCAAAGAGTTTTAAAGCTGACGCTTCGAGCGTAAGCCTTCTGTTAGCCCTCCGTTAGCACTTCGTTTGCCCTTCGTCATTTGCTCTGGCGAAGTACTTACCCTCGAAACGTCATCTTTGAAACTCTCAAGTCAACGGTTGCCAACTTACGTTCTCAACTCAGTTGGTAATACTAAATTGCCTTATCAAGATTACAACCGACCGAATAAGTTCGCACAACGGACAGAAAAAACACACTAATTATTTCTTACAACAGAAAGAGTAACCAAGCTAATTATTTAACTGACAAAGTACTATGATAACAACCGACCCAGTAAGTGAATAGCAACTTCTTACTAACCGAGGGCCGTACTAAGGAATGTTGGTTATAGGTAAGTAAGTAGTTTGTTAGCTTTCGTGACCAAAAATACACGGCTTATGACCGTTCCCGTGCCATGTGATAAAACAAGCTACTGGAGTGGTGTCTTACATTTTATCAAATATAAAGTACAAACTAACTAATTTTTGCAGCTGACTAAAAAAGTGAGTACGGTTGACAGAGTAAAATTACTAAGTGACTGTTTAAGTCCCCATAACCAACCAGGTGATATTTCAATAACGCCAAGTTTCGGAGTGATGTTTATTTTAGTGATGTTCACAGTTGACCGAACAAGTAAACAAGTGACTGAGATATATCTTATTGAGACCCGCAAAGGGTTATTAAAAAATGTAGGATCTCTTTGTATGTCAAGCATCGATTTTACTAAGACTGCGAAAGGAAGAAAATAAAGTGGAGAACGTTTAGTCTTTAGTAACAACCATGATAAGAGCGATATCATTCTGCATTCTGCATTCTAGACGCAGTTGCTTCATATTTATGAATTGTTGGTCTAGCTTATGTGGGAAAAAACGACCACGGAAAAAAATTCTCAAGTTGTAGGAAGTGTTATCATGGAACGAAAAATGGAGCAATTATTACTACCCTTATTATCCTTGTGTGTGTGTGTGTGTGTTTTTTGTTTTTGTTTTTTTGTTTTTTTGGTCAGAAAGAAGTAACATTTTTAACTGGTGAATTGCGCAAGAGCGAGTTGTAGATATGATGTAGAGAATGGCACTCACTCGCTCGCTCGCTCGCTCGATTGGTCGATTCCTGTAATCTTTTTTTAGGTTTTAGGCTTTTGAGTGCATTTGATAGTTTTTGGCGAGCAATAAACAAACGAAATGGCGACCTTTGTTGCTAAGAATAGTGGTGGGGTGAAAAAGAAGCCAATCTTAATCTTAAAAGAGTTTTTTTTTTTCGTTTTAGTTTCAACAAGCGGCGCCAGCAACTGGCAGGCATGCAAGGATTCACACTGAAATAACAGAACAACCTTCGTTTTTCATAAAATTGTAATTTACAATTCTTGAACTTGAAAACAATCCGAAGATTCATTGAAAATATCACTTACTGCGAAGTGTTCGGAGTTTACAGATGTTCAAAAGCTTTTTCTGTTATGGCATGAGATTGAGGACAAAATCGATCATTACGTTTCGTATCGTGTGTTTTTCCTGTGTGAAGCAACAAAAGATGCCGGCGACTGACGAAATTACAAGTTAACACGAAAATCAAATAACACCTAAACAAACAATTTTAGCTACCGATTTTCAGTGAATTTTTAAAGAACAATTTTCTTTTTAAGTTTAAGACAATTTGAAGATTCAAAATAAATATTACGTACTAAAATGCGAAAGTTATACACCACAAAATTGGCAAATAGGCCTGAAATTAAATTCTATCTTTTTCTTGATTACACGTTGCCTAGCACGTGACTAAAATCTACCCAGGCGGAGATCCAAAATGACGGTGGCAGTCTTGGCTTAGTTATATCACTCAAAACTAGTTCCCGTTTGTCTCATTCGATAAAGAGGGAATCGTTAATGTTTTCATTAAGACAGTATTGCCTTGATTTTGTAATATTTACAATGATAGACAGTAAATTTCACTTTCCGCCCACATTTACTTCCAACCTTTTCTTTTGAACCAGAAACGAAAACGATATACGTTTAAAACACATGACATCATCCACCCTTGTCAAATGTAATAGCATGATCATTTCAATTGTAATGCCTTCTTATCCCAACGTTACTTTGTTTCTTTGCTACGTTAGCGAACACTGAACTACTGCTCGTACTCTAGATATGACAATCAACCACAAAATTCCCTAAACCAGATAACATTAAACATAATCCAAAAAATCATGTGTCAATTCACGAGTTTGCTTTGGACCCTAAACTCTTCAGTCGAGGTATCAGAATAACAATGTAGCTGATTAAGTATCTTTCTAGCAATTAGAAAAGTATTTAGCTATTAAAAAGAATTAACACCCGCGTTAAGCATAACTCTGGAAAGTTCAACATAACAAAACTCCTGGCGGCGGCTTATTCATCTTTGTTAATCTTAAGTGATTACAAGAAATTATAAAACTGAGATAACTTTATTCCCAGGACCCAGTTTATTATCCCTCTGTAATGATTAATGTCAAATTATCTAGCAGAGGAAATGATGTGGGAGAACTCAATGATAACAACTATTAGTAATTATTAAATACCAGTAATATGTATCTTTTTCAATGTAGCACAGCATAGGTATTCCATTATCAGCACAACAGTCAACAAGAGAACTTTCTTGTGACTTTTAATACGAAATATTCCACAACAAGTGTGGCTGTCGTTGGTATTCAAGAATTCCCAACATCAACGCAATGACGATAATCAAATGAGAGAAAACTATTTGTAGCTAATTTTTGCAGCTGACTAAAAAAAAGTACGCAGAGCTGACTGAGTAAAATTTCTAATTAAGTGACTGTATAAGTCCCCATAAACAACCAGGTAATATTTCAATAACGCCAAGTTGCGGAGTGATGTTTATTTATGACACAAATTGACTTAGTGATGTTCACAGTTGACCGAACAAGTGTAAACTAGTGACTGAGATATATCTACTTAAGACCACCAAAGGGTTATTAAAAAAAAAGTATTTAAAGGATTTAGCTATTAAAAAGAATTAACACCCGCGTTACACCTTGGAAAGTTCGACATCACAAAACTCCTGGCGGCGGCTTACTCATCTTTGTTAATCTTAAGCGATTACAAGAAATTATAAACTGAGATAATTTTATCCCCATGACCCAGTTTATAACGCTATTACGCTAATTGATTGTAGGGATCAAGTTGAGATCAATTTTGCTCGTAAGATGTTTCATTCTTCCTGCCGGTAATGCGTAAAAGACACTGATTTTGATTGACAAATTTTACCCCACCGCAAGAACTCTGGCTTAAGCGCATCGCTCACGGTAAGGTGTATGGTCGATCCAGACAATCCTTGATACTCTTTCACTAAGTTTTGACGTTTGACACCCCCAAAAATAACTTTTGATGCAATGGCCTAAATATGTTCCAAACCAGACTATAAATGACGGTGTTTCTTCAGTCTGTCACTGTTACATATTATAACCTTTAGTTGCTTAAAGCAAGAGAGAGCTTCACATTATATAAGATGAATTCCCTTTCCAGAGTTTCTTATTGGCTGTTCGGGGCAATACTGTTGGTGATTCTAATCTCAGCTTCAGCGCGTACATGTAAGTAAGATTTCCTTCTTACACCATTGTGATGACAAGTTAAATTACCACTCGTTCAATTTTCTCTGTGTCAATTTCATCAATTACAGGCTGCGTAGACAAATCATACATGTGCGAGGTTACGCACTAACACTAAGGCTAAATCAAAATTTACTCAAAGACAGTCGTCACAGAGAGGCATAGGATGTGGTCGACGAAAGTCAGATTCCTTTCTCATCTACGATCCTCGGCTTTTTCATTTCCATTCTGCTCATTTACGTGCAACTTTGTTGACGAAACTTTCGTATTTTTCTTCAACAGTTAAAAATTGTGCTGAGCTGCACAGATCTGGTCAGAGAATCAGTGGTATTTATACAATCAAAACTGACAACTCACAAGCCTTTGATGTATATTGTGATCAGACAACAGACGGTGGAGGCTGGACGGTGTTCCAGAGAAGACTAAATGGTTCCGTCGATTTCAACCGCAGTTGGTCTCACTACAAACATGGTTTTGGAAGTTTCCTCGCTGGTGAATTTTGGCTTGGACTGGATAAGGTCCACCGGCTGACTCAAGAGAAGAAAAACAACACGCTTAGAGTGGATCTCGGGGGTGATTCTAAAGAAATCGTTTACGCTGAATATAAATGGTTTGGAATTGCGAACGAAGCGGATAAGTACCAGCTGAACATTGGCAATTTGGCAAGTAAGTCAATAAATACAGTAAATGGTTTGAACCCGGGGGTAACATGTAATAGTGTAGTTTGATCGTCCGGGTCACTGTAGTCCTGAGAAGGACTATTGTCGGTAGTGGTGACTGACGTTTCGACAACCTGAGCGGAAGTCATCATCAGAGTCAAGTGAAAGGTTGTTGTCAGTCGAATATACTTACACAAACACACAAACACACAAACCGGACTAAGTACATTCGACTGACAACAACCTTTCACTTGAATCTGATGATGACTTCCGCTCAGGTTGTCGAAACGTCAGTCACCACTACCGACAACAGTTCCTCTCAGGACTACACTCACCCGGACGACCAAACCACACTATTATAAGTCAATAAAAGCAATATTTAATGACAGGTAGCTTCGTTGCGTCACAATTAATAAAACAGTGAAGCAAAAGCATACAATTTTCTGGAGGAAAAGGAAAATAAAATGATTGTAGCACCTTTCAGTTTTCCCGGTCTTGAAATCAAAGCCAGAGGATAGAGAAGATGAATTTGGTCCATCGAGTATAAACAAAACGACTACGAGAGCTCAGTTATAGCCATCGCTATTATCGAACTTAGCTTCATATGAACTTTTTAACAATACATCACCTCGATTATTTTTTCTTGTAAACGTTTTCATCTAGACTAAGTACTTTGTGAGCATATTACCGCATGGATATGTGCTGTTACATTAATGAATAGATTTCGCGTAGTATGTCCTTTAACGAGTCCCTGACTCAGCAAAGGGTCTGAAAATCTGATCTCTAAAGCAAGTATTAAAGCTCAATGTAGCAGTGCTCAGATTCACGTTTTTCTTTTCCTTCCCTACTCATCTTCTCGAGATTAAAGAAATCTTTTTTTCCCATTCTATTTTCATCGTGACAAAAATTGAGCTGAAGTTTCAAAGAAGTTATGAGTGGATATTAATTTTTTAACAGAAGCGACTGTCCATGATTCTCTCAGTGCTCATAATGGCTCAAATTTTAGCACTTGGAATCAAAAGCATTACAACTGTCCCGGAAAAGTAACAGAAAGCTGGTGGTTCCCGGAAGGCTGTGAAATTGGTTCAAATCTAAACGGAATTTATGGATGGAAAGAAGACGCAATTTATGGAGGCAAAGAAGGCGCAAAGATTCATTGGAGAAAATTTGATCTTACAGATCCTACTCGCGCTCCCATAACATCAGAGATGAAAATCAGACCTGCAAACTTCAAACGGCGATAAGAGAGGCGGACGAAACGAGGAACAAAGGTGGCATGCAACTTTAGAATATAAGTCGACTTACATACTCATAAATAGTGTTCCTGGCGTAAATGATGTTCACGGCGCCAGAAGAAGAAGGTGATTCGGAGTAAGGGTGGGGGTGGGGAAGCGCTGAAAACAAGAGTAATGAGTAATGAGAGCGATCCAACAATTTCCTCTTTATTTGACTATTGTTGATGAAATCTCAAGGATCTTAAGTAAATTGTGTGAACCCAAGAGTAACATTTGATCTTGTAATCTGGTCGTCAGGGTTGGAGTAGTCCTGAGAAGGACTGTCACCATCATTAGAGTCTCGTGTGTATTCGTAAACTAATATTCAGTTTACAAATCGTGTAAGGTAGGGTTTATGTTTTCCGACTGTTCCATCTCCAAGATAGGGTAAAAAGAAAATTTGCCTCCATCACAAAATCACTACATCTTTAAAATCAAAGAAGATCCAAGAAGCATTTGGGAAATAGTTTGATTTGACACCAAATTCTTACACCCTAAATGATAAGAAATGTATGGTAGATGGTGCAGAGAATTAATATCTAAATCTTGTGGGTTAGAGGGTTGGCCGAGGCGAGAGATGCTACAAGCGAACTCCGAAAGTAGGATGCTCCTCCCTTTAGATTTGTCCAATTTTAACTAGTCACGTGGGTAGTCTTATTATTACATCATGTCTGTTTAAAAATACCCCACTATGAAAGGGTCTGAAGCGTTAAAAAAAAAATTGTGGCCGTTAGGCGTAAAAATTGAAAAATTTTGATTGCTAGTCGTAAAAAAGTTAATCCTAAGATTTTTTTTCTTGATGGATACGGAAAGAATTTAACCGTTAGCTGCAAAATGGCCAAACTTTTAACCGTTAGTTAGCTGTAAAAGCCATCACCCCATTAAGACCCTTATGAGCTATTTTTGATCATCAGTTCAAGTCAAAGTATTGAAATTCAACTATTGTTGGAAGAAAGGTTAGTTTTTAAAACTTCTGCTTAACTTCATAAGGAAACTGATATCCAAGTTCTACCTTGTACACAGTATTTTCTAAGTTCTTTTCTCTCTCTGTGATGAACCGTCCGGAAATAGGATCACAACAGTAATGGCTGCTTCAGTATTAGATCGAAGATTCATTTTAGTCGCATGGAAAAATTAGTTCATAAATGAACTTAAATAATAAAAAAAAGTCATATGTCCGGCTGGTTTTCTTTGAGTGTTGATTGGGATGAATGAGACCAACAGGCCCATTTATACTGAAATAATTTTCCTGATTAGCAAATTTTTATGTTTCACGAGTACAATTTTTGCAGTTTTCCTCCAGGTAGCAGAATATTAAACAAAAACTACACTGGAAAACATTTTCATCTTGTCTTCTTCTTCAGTTACAGCAAAACCATGAATATTTCCTAAAATTTTACTAAATATTAATTCAAACGTTCACATCTAAAAGCTCAAAAGGACTGGTAACAGGTTTACAACCCGACAAAACCTAACCCTACCCACTCCCTTCACCAACTCCCGCGAGAAGGTTCGGCACGTGTTGCACAAACTAAAAAAGCATTTTTCTTCCCTGTGATTAATTATAAAAAGTACAAGAAGCAAGAAAAAAAGCCCACAATAGTCATTTTTTATCTAGTTTTCCCTTAGATCCGCGACAACACAACAACACTCACTTTCGTATCACTACTCTCCCACGTTTCTTTTGCACCCTGAAAGTGAGGTTGTTTCTAATATGGCAGCTTGACGTAACCGGGTCGTTGTGTCTTTCTCCAACAATCGTTCAGATGGAGAGTTCACCTCGTTTTATCAACAAATTGCAGCCAGTAAAGTTCGGAAAGAAAGTGACACGAGTACTCTTCAGCCCGATGAAGGCGACGTAAGTGAAAGAGAGCTTCTTGTGGATGACATCCAGCGCATTCGCGAAGCCCTCCGTGTTACAGCTGATGCAGTCAACAAGTTGTCTTCTGAAGATGAAGAAGACGATGAAGAGTTCGAAGAAGAGGAAGAAGAAGAAAATGAACAACCTTGCGCTGAAAACGCAAGCCTGAAACGTATGTTTCATTTGTTGTTTTGGTAAAATTTCTAGGCTGGACAAAATAACTGCCACGCACAACAGACGATAAATTTATTGTAGTAAACATTCTGGAACTCTCCATTCCCAATTGAATCTAGATTCACCCTTACGTCAAGAAGTATCATGGCTATCTCACTTGAGTGGAGCTAATTGCTGCAAATGCTTCAGTGACGTAGGAACTATTACACAATACAGCACCACCGAGGTCCACCTTGTCAGCATGCTGAGTTATAATGACAGCATGTACAGTAGCACCAATACTTTTTGAAGTAAATAGTACCTAAAAAGAAATAGGGGATTAAAAAAGTTGATGTGTCAACAATTTTGTCGCCGATTATAGATTGGTGTGAGTGAATTATGGGTACACACCGTACATAACTTGTTTTTTCAAATAGTCAATTTCTAGCTAGGTGTTACTGCACAGTAAAGGAAACAAGCAAAATCTATGATATAAAAGTTGTATTATGTGACATAGTTTGATGCTACTCTGGTTTGCAGATTTAATGAATGTAACCGAAGAAGTTACAATTCATAGGCCCAACATTTCGACACTCCTGTCTAGTGCCTTCATCAGGGGTGATCTAAACACTGCAACAAGAGGTCCTTTTATATGATCACTTATTAGCAGCCTTTTTTTTTCTGACGAGGTGTAAATAGGCGTCAGGAAGCAAGCCACCATTGTAATTAGTGATCATATAAAGGACCTCTTGTTGCAGCATTTAGATCACCCTGATGAAGGCACTAGACAGGAGTGTCGAAACGTTGGGTCTATGAATTGTAACTTCTTCGGTTACATTCATTAAATCTGCAAACCAGAGTAGCATCAAACTATGTCTGATTGTCCACCTGGTTGCCGTGTGAACTTTAATATATTTTGTGTTATGTGTTTTGAATTTTACCTTTAATTTTCTTATGTGAGCTAAATCACAAGTTTTCCGCTTTGACGTATATGTATACCTGTATCCCACAGATCAAACTTCTTTCAAGTTGCCACATCAGACAGAGAATTTTCTCTCTGCTTCAGTGAGTATTTCTAGTTGCCTCTTATTACCATAAACAGGCAAATGTTACTTATGAGAGTACAACAGCCACAGAAGAAAAATTGGGATACCAGAATTAAGATCAACTCTTTTAGGTTGAACCTCAGCAGAGGTCATGCTGTTGTGGTCCTAGAAGAGAAACTTTTCTCTTTTTTCTTTTTGTGGTGTATTGTCAGCAATCCACTCTGGAGCACAAGCAGTATCAGCACTATTACTTATTTTTAGCAGAAATCAGGATAAGTTATGGAAATCTTGGTAGCCTTTGGCTTCAAGTTTTGGCACAGATTAGGGAACTAGTTGGTCATTAAATCAGAGCACCAGTTGAAAATATAAAAATTTGCCATGTGTTTTGGGAACCAAACAAAATTTTTGCAAGTTTTTTTGAAGTTTGATTTTCATGATTAGTACAATATCAAATTGATGTAATTTAACCCATGTTTCTCGTAGAAACATGGTTTTACACTCACCAGTGAAGGAGAAGTACTTCAGGAAGAGAATTGTATCCATGAGCCTCCTCCGAAAGTCAGAGAGACAATCATTGGTCTAATTGTACTGGCAAGCGAGGGGTGCGGCTACCGCCTCTCTGTTAGGAGAAAGAAAAGGAAATCCAGTCTGGCACGAATAAAACAGCTCTGCATATAGTTATAGGAAGACGACCAGAAGCGTTTGAAGCGTTAGTTTTTACAACCCACTAAATCAAATGAGTCACACAAATGACAGAATAAATTTTGCAAACGACCAAATCAGTGCGTTACGCCTTTGACCCCTAAGAGTGACTTGCATCTTAATTCTCCTCACAACATCATCTGTCTGAATCGCAGATGACCCTAACCCTAAGCATTTTATTGGGAGATAAATGGAGAACAAAATGGGGAATTTGCTGACAGATGTTAATGAGAAAAGGTTTAAACTGGTTGGGTATCATGTTTTCAAGCGACCGAAAAAGTCTGTACAACTTACAGTGTATCATGATTTTAGGGGTAAGTTTCTAAAGAAACTGTGGTGCTGCGTCGCTGGGAGAATAAAACAAGGTAATTTTGTATTACCAGCTGAGTTGGTAACGTAAATTGGCCACTGCAAAGAGTTTTAAAGCTGACGCTTCGAGCGTAAGCCTTCTGTTAGCCCTCCGTTAGCACTTCGTTTGCCCTTCGTCATTTGCTCTGGCGAAGTACTTACCCTCGAAACGTCATCTTTGAAACTCTCAAGTCAACGGTTGCCAACTTACGTTCTCAACTCAGTTGGTAATACTAAATTGCCTTATCAAGATTACAACCGACCGAATAAGTTCGCACAACGGACAGAAAAAACATACTAATTATTTCTTACAACAGAAAGAGTAACCAAGCTAATTATTTCAACTGACAAAGTACTATGATAACAACCGACCCAGTAAGTGAATAGCAACTTCTTACTAACCGAGGGCCGTACTAAGGAATGTTGGTTATAGGTAAGTAAGTAGTTTGTTAGCTTTCGTGACCAAAAATACACGGCTTATGACCGTTCCCGTGCCATGTGATAAAACAAGCTACTGGAGTGGTGTCTTACATTTTATTAAATATAAAGTATAAACTAACTAATTTTTGCAGCTGACTAAAAAAGTGAGTACGGTTGACAGAGTAAAATTTCTAAGTGACTGTTTAAGTCCCCATAACCAACCAGGTGATATTTCAATAACGCCAAGTTTCGGAGTGATGTTTTTTTTAGTGATGTTCACAATTGACCGAACAAGTAAACAAGTGACTGAGATATATCTTATAGAGACCCCCAAAGGGTTATTAAAAAATGTGGGATCTCTTTGTATGTCAAGCATCGATTTTACTAAGACTGCGAAAGGAAGAAAATAAAGTGGAGAACGTTTAATCTTTAGTAACAAT